ACCCAGCACCTGGGGGTCCATTATGTGGCCAGAGGACATGGTGTCCAAGATAAGGGACAGGAATAAGGCCTTAAGATCCCGAAAGCAAGTGAGCCTCAGGGGCCTGCCTGGGGCAAAGCTCCAGCCAGACAAGATTCTCCTGGTGAGTCAGACATGTCTTTTCCTGCCCGCTGCCCCCTCCCCTCCTGACCTCCCCCCCGCAACTGTCACCCTAGAGGAGCAGTAACCAGAGCGGCCAAGGCTGGGGGAGGGGGAACCAGCTCAAGGTGGACACTTCACCGGGGCCACTGGCCAGTGAGCGGCAGGACCAGGGCAGCCTTGCCAGTCTGGGTGTGGAGTCTGAGTCAGCGCTCTCGCCGGGAATTGGGCAAACCTTGCATCAGATGACTTCTGTCTTTCCCGCTCCTGGAGCTGTGCCCGGCTCCGTGTGTACCCCAAGGTGGCGGCCCTCGATTTCTTCTATTTATAAACAGTGAGAGAGAGGAAGGGAAAGCAGGGCGGGACCGGGGAAGGAGAAGAAGCGGTGGCCCCAGGACAGTGCCATCTGAGGGTAACAAACTGCGCACGGGGCCTTCTGCCCTTCCTGCCACCATGAGCTCAGTCAATGCCTTTGGGGTCTTCAAGGCCTTTTAATGTTCTGGAGACCCCTCCCCCGAGCTTAGATGCCCGTACCCTTGGGAAGAGGTCACTCTCCCAGCCTGGACTGGGAGCGCCCCTGGGCGGGGAGAAGGCAAGAAGGGAGGAGGTGGCAGGAGGCCACAGGGAGCAGCTTCAGGCTTTGGGGGGTAGCACGTGACAAAGAGCCCCATGACGCAGAGCCAGAAGGACATGGAGGCTGTGCAGACCCAGGAGACACACCCACTGCACCCACACGGCACTGGGCACCACACACCTCCTCTCGTTTTATCCCTGCACCAACGCAAGGAGGTCAGCATCACCCCATTTTAGGAAGAAGCAACAGAGGCTTCTGGAGATTCGATGCTAAGTCCAAGAACAGACAGCCAGCACGCGGCAGAAAGGAAGTAGTCACGGATCCACCTGCCTCTGTGTCCGTGGACAATTTAATATGCTCTCGTTCTGTCCTGCTCCTTCGTTTTATAGAACAGGGGCCCCGAGGGGAAGACCACCTCCTGGGAGAACACTCAGCAAGCCAGCTGCAGGTAGATTCAGGGACTCTCCCGAAAGGGTCTCCAGGGGCCCCAGGGGCAGAGGCGTCTGCTGAAGGACCCAGGGACCCCGACACGGACGGAAACCATCTCAAGCAATAGAGAAACCCCATCATTTGCATGGCAGGTCTCCGGGGCCCTGCGGTATGCTGGGAGGCGGCAAAGCCACCTGGGCCTCACTCTCTGGGGGTTCGTGGGAGCCCCGTGGACTGCAGGGTGCAGCCACATCAGGCCAGGCCAGCGCGGCTACGACGCCGGGACCAGGCAACAGAGGCCCGTCTGCCGTCATGGAGAGGAACGGCATCTGCGTCAGGAAAGACCGACCACATCACAGACGGCCGCCCAGGGGTGACACATCCCACCCCCTGCCTGCCGCCTGTGATGTCGCTTTAGAAGTGCACCAGGGGCAGACAGGAAGCCCGGGCGGGCATCCGGTTCTCGGGCCAGGCTTTGTGCGAGGTGCCCGGGCTCAAAGATGGCAGGATGTGGTCCCTGCCCCCAAGGAACCCTCGGGTTAGTTGCAGAGGACACCCCTTTCCACCCCTCCCCACCCCACCCCCCACACACTGGCCGGTCGGTGTGGCCCCCTCAGTTTACCCCGGCTCCTGCCTCCCGACCCTTGGCACGTCCCACCGGCTACAGCCTCCTCACTCTTGGTCCCCAGGCTTTCCAACCTGACCCAAAACCACGTCGGACCCCGTTTCAAACCACTGGCTCCACTGCCCTCAGGCACGAGCTCATCCCCAGCTTGAGCCCCGGGCACTGCTGCCCAGCCCCTGGCGCAGCCTGCTCCTTCGTCCCCTCGCTCCACCATCCCGACCCCCATGGCAGGCCCAACTCTCCACCTTCTTTCAAGGGTCCGCTCCACTAAGCACCTCTGTGAAACTTCCAAACTCCCAGATGGGGCCAGAGGTCCCTCCTGGGGCCCCAGGGTAGATCCAGCGTGGACCCAGGGCAACCTCGGTAGATCTCTATACCACCCAGACCACTTTTTGGTTAATTACTCATTTCCCAGTATTGCCCCCTCTACACACTCTAATATGGGCTCTGAGCCAGACATCTGGGTTTTACTCCCAGCTCTGCCCTGCACCAGCCTCAGTTCTGGCATCTATCAAACGGGGACAAATAGAGTGCCCGCCACAGAGGGCCATTATGATTCACTGAGTGAACACGTGTAAAGTGCTCAGCACCGTGCCTGGCGGGCAGTAAGAGCCAAGTGTATTTGGCTTCACTGGGTTTGTATTACTCATTGCTCTATGCCCAGCCCAGGGCACATCCCACAGTAGGTGCCTAACAGATGCTGAACTGTCCAACAGAAGCAAAGTTTTCATTTCCAATTAGTTGAAACGAGGTGGAGCCAGCATGAGGACTGGGCAGGAAATGGAGAGAGGGAGGCGTCTGTCCTCTCCTGGGGGGAGACCACGCAGCAGCTTTCAGACGAGAGCCCCTCGCAGCCACGGCGACTGCCATGCACGCACAGAGCCCTGGAGCACCACCGCCTGCCGTGGGATCGTGGCTCTGCCTCGGGTAAGCTGACAGCCTGGGCACACAGCTTAACCTCCGTGTCTCAACCGCCTCTCCTAGCAAATGGGGACAGTGATGGTCCCCCTTCCGGGGAAGGTGGGGCTGTGAGAATTGAGGGGAAGGCATTAGACCCCCGGCACCATGAAGCACCTCCCTGGATGTCAGTCCCAGCCCCGATGGAAAGCGACAGAGACACCTTTATCTCCACCTTACCAGTGGGGAGGAGTAAAGTTCAGCTCAAGGCCCCGAGGCGCCCTGGCAGCACAGCTATGCAGCCCCCAGAAGTCCTGAGATCTCACGTGAGACAGATGGATCAGCCACGCCCAGTCTCAAGGCACCCCAGTTGGAACCCCGGGGGGACCAAGGCCAGGCTCGCCCACAGCCGCCCACAGCAGCTCGAAACACGAGGCTGACACTGGCCACGATACTTGGCCCAGGCCGGAGCCAAGAAGGACCTCGTGTTACAGGACGGGGTACAGAGGGACAACTCCTCTTCCTCCTGAACCTCTGTCCCACACTAGGTCTTGGGTCCGGTCAAGGCCTCCTGTTCCTCCCCAAAGCCTCCGACCCTTCCTTCACGTTTTGCTTACTCCCTCAGCCCAGAGCTCCTGCTTAAACTATTGCAACAGTCTCTACTGCATCTGGCCTGCCCGCCGAGGCCAGACTGATCTTCCTAATTCACTCTCTGCTCTAGTCACTCCCTTGCTCTAAAACCATCAGTGGCTCCCCACTGCCTCAGCCCCTGATAGGAGGTGAGGGTGGTGCCAAAATCATGGACTCCGGAGTGAAGATGCCTCCCATCACGGCTCCTAACGACGCTTTCGCTCCTGCTAGGGCCATCTAACTACTCTCCGCTGTGAGCCCTGCCTCGCGGCCCCCCCCCCACACACACCATTCCCCTTCCTGGACCCATTCATCTCCATCCTGCCCACCCTCAGGGCGCAGCTTTTAGACGCATCCCTGTGTGGTCATTGCGGGACTTGGAAGAGGCCAGGATGGGGGGCAGAGCCAGGAAAAGCGACAAGGAAAGATGAGGGCAGTGACCAAGGGGCCAGGCCGGGCGGAGAGTAAAGCCCTCGGGGGAGGGGGGCCATGGCTGGGGGAGGACAGCGGGGAATCACGCCAGGGCTCAGGGAGGACTCAAGGCTGCCGGGAGGACGGGACAGGAAGGAGCGGGATGCGGAGGCAGCAGGCTCGCGGAGAAGCTGAACTTGTAGTCTCTACGAGTGGCAGACAGAGGCCAGGCTGTGGGTCGGCAGGAGGAATGACAGACAGGGGTGCCCAAGATGCTGGTGAGCATCCTGCTGACTAAGGTCCTGGGAGCCCTTCCCGGGAGAGTCACTATCAAGTCCAGACAGGGGCCTTCCAAGGAGGGCCGGCGTGTGGAGGCCAGAGCTGCTCTCCACCCTCTGCTCAAAGTCACAAACCTCCCCCCACCCCGTGCATCACCTCCCCCAGGGCCTCCCCCAGTCTAACACTTGGGGCCAAATAACTCCAAGGCAGGAGTGGGCGAGGTCCACACTGAGCTCAATTTCTGGCTGGGGCAGCTGAGGCTCAGAAAGAAGGAAACTGGCCAGGCCCCAGCTCCCCAGCTCCCAGCCCCACACTCTGGTCACTTCCACAGCTTCTGGCATCCCCCGACAGGCGCTTGAGAAGGCCTCGCACGGATGGCCCAGAAGATACCCGTGCACAGCCTGCCTGTCCCCAAATCCCTCCCCACTCTGCTCCCCACCCCGCATCCCAGGCCCACTCAGTTCCCTGAACCTGTGGCCACACCAGCCATACCCACTCGGGGCCAAGCTCAGATTGAAACAGATGGGTGGGCCACAGTCTTGGACATCAAAAGAAAACAAACAAAACCCCCTGGGGATTTCTCGCCCTGTCGGAGCAGCTGGGTCAACTCTGGGCCCCAGCTCCAAAGCCGCGGACAGAGCAGCAGTCTGCTGGCGTCTTGAGGACCCAGCGTTCTAGAAACAGACACATCCTATAGCCCCTGAAGGCATTCTACGTTCGCACTATTTGCCCCACAGGTGACACCAGAGATGAAGCCTGTCCCTGCAAAGAAGACGTGGAGGCTCAGAGAGGTAGAACGGTATGTCACAGGCAACAAGAAAGCAGGGCAGACACCAGACCTCGGCTGCAGCCCGGCCCGCCCTCCCCCTCCCCTTCCCCCAACTCAGCTCACCTCTAGGGCAGGAGGAAATCTATTCTTCCAAACCTCAGTGGGTAAACAGACACTTCCTCCTACTGCGTGCGCACCCCGAGTGCCCCAAACCACAGTGATGTCACTACCTCCCCGGTGACCTCACACCACGCCACAGTGGAAAATGACCGTGGGCCCCACGGCTTCAGAGTCCTAGCCGCAGGGTCCACAGCGCGGCAGATGGGGACCCATACCCAAGGCCCCGGGCCGTGAAGGAGGCCTGCCAGACTCGGCACAGCGGGGAGGGCCGTGTGCCCGGCACAGGTAACAGGCGGCTTCTTCGAGGAAACCCTTTACTCCCACCGAGGCTTCCTTGAATCTGTGGGTTCCCAGACGGCAGGCCTTGCAGTGGGTGCCCACAGCGCAGACTTACGCACGGGCTGGGGCCCCTGTGGGTCTGGCTTCTGCATTTTACTCAGTGGCAGGGAGACAGGAAAGCCACAAGCCCCGCTCTGCCGGAGGGTTCTACATCTTGTTTTGGATGCAAGTTGACAGGCGGCCAGGAATTCTTCATGCCACTGGGGCCTGAGTCAAGGAAATCATTCTGGGCAGAGCCCGTGAGATTGAGGTCAGCAGGAAGAGAGTCTGGGAAGCCAAGATGTTGAGAGCAGGAGTGCTACACGGCTCTCCTTCCTGGGAAAACTTTTACTCCCTCGCCCCACCCTGAGCTCTATGGCCTTTGTCAAGCACATGCAAAGGTAGCACTTCCCCAGCATTCTAGGAGAGTGCGGGGGTCAGTGGTGCGAGGTTTAATACGGAGGAATGCTTAGCCGCAGAGAAGCTAAGTAGCCTGAACAAGGTCACACACCAAAACGGTGGCAGTGCTGGGCTGGGAACTCTGTTCTCCTGACACCCGGGCCAGTGTTCCTTCCTCGGGCCCTTGCCGTCTTAAAGTCCCATAGAGGCTGGAGAATGGCCTCCGAGGACCCCGCCCCCACCTCCCCAAAGGGCTTTCCCCTCTCAGAGTTACAAGTAAACAGAACCTCGGGATCACAGAGGTTAGAAATGAAAGAGGCTTTAGGGATAGCCGGGAAGAAGGCCCATCTTGAAGGCAGGAAAGTTGAGGCCAGAACATTCCCTTCACGGGGAGGTCTTAAGACTCCTCTAAACTGTGCCAAATGTACCCTTTGCGCACCCCCAGGTGAGCACCTGTCACTCATGAGAGGGGTGGGGGAGTGATTTCCTGACCCCACGGCCGTGACTGCTGCAAGGGTCTGGAGGCCAGGCCGTTGGGCAGGGGGTGTGAGAGGCCCAGCGAGGGGGCATCAAGGGAGCAGGAACAGCCAGGAAAAGGCAAGGCAGAATGAAAGCTGCTCCCAGAGATGTTGGGCAGAAGCTCTGGGCAACGGGAGGTCTGCCACCCACGCCCTGGGGCCCCTGGGGCTCAGAGACAGAGGACCGGACTCCCCCGTGGTCCCGCCCCAAAGGCAGGGCAGGCCCTGCAAAGCCACCAGTGCTCAAACAGCCACCAGTGAGGTGCACAGCCTACAAAGCACTTTTAGCCCTGACAAGCATCCAATGAGCTGGGGGTCGTTCCCATTTTCCAGATGGAAACACAGAGGCTCCCAGAGATAGAAAGACTTGCCAAAACCACACAGCCGGTAAGCAGCAGAGGAAGGGTTTGAGCTGAGGTCTGCCTGATTCTGAGGGCTGGGCGCTTCCCCTAAGTCATCAATACTGCTTCCCCATGACCCAGCAGAGAGTCCGGAACTGGGGGCCACACCATCTCTGCTTTGTTCCTGTTCCCCTGGTGGCACCCCTCTCTCCTCCCTAACCCCCGGCTTCCCTCCCTGCCTGCTTCTGGACAAGTCACATGCCGACCGGGGCCCTGAGTCATTGCCAGTGAGTGGGTGGCCCTGTCACAAGCACTTTAGGGAGCACTGTAGGGAGAGCACCCCTAGCCTCCGCAGACCCAATATAGCACGTGGAGGAGCCCAGAGAAATACCCCAAACAGAGGAAGACAGGCTGGATCCCAGCCCTGCCACCACTGGCTTCTCAAACGCTTCTGTCTCAGGCATAAGACAGGGCCATTGTAAAGGTCAAATGAATATTTTTGCACATTTACTCAGAATTTTCTAGCACCTACTCCATTGGCACTATTCTAACCCAGTGGTTCTCAATCAGGGCAATTTCTCCCCCAGGGGACGTTTAGCAATCTCTGGTGACATTTTAATTGTCACAAGTAAACAGGGGTTTCTACTAGCATCTAGTGGGTAGAGGGCAGGGATGCTGCTAAACGTGCTATAACACACAGCACGGCCCCCAAACAACGATGTGGCCCAATGTCAAGAGTGCTAAGAATGAGAATCCAGGTTCTAGGCTGCGAGTCTGTAGCGGGGAGCAGGTACCAGCCCTCACCATGCTTACATTCCAGTAGGAGATGCAACAAAAGTGAGAGAAAGCACAAAGAAAACAAAGCAGGTCAGGGGAGGGAGAGCACCTGAGGGGAGCTTTTGTAGGCAGGACAGTCAGAGAGCGGCTCTCTGAGAAGAATTCATTTGAGCAGAAAGAAGGAGTGTGAATGAGAGTAGGGGATATCAGCAGGAGGAGCATTCAAGGGAACGGGAAAGGCAAGTGCAAAGGCCCTGAGGTAGGTGTGTGGGTGACATGCTTGTGGAACAGAAAAGCAACCAGTGTGGCATAAAACTGAGAGCTGAATGTAACACATACAAACACACACACACACACACACACACACACAATGGTTGGCATCAAAACTCCCCCTGCCCCACCCACCCACCCAACATACAACCTTCCTGGCTACTCGCCAGGAAGCACTGGATGGTCAATGCCATAAAATACCTCTGAGCCCTGGGGAGGAATGGTGCTCCAGAATGTCAGTGAGGGTCACGACCCAACACAAAAATGCCAGGCGGACTCTCAGCCACTATCTGCTGCAAGGCCTTCGTGCCCACTCGGCTCAGTGCAGACAGGAAGGAGGGGAGGGAAGTACTTTCCATGTCCCCACATCCACGTCGCAGACCTGGCCCAGCTTTCAAGGGCAGGCAGGGGAAGAGCCCAGGTCTGTGACCACTGGCAGTGTGGCTCCTGGAAAGCTGGAGCCGGCTCAGGGTCACCTCCAGGTCCCCGGGGCCCAGCAGCAGGGTGGGTCTGGAGCAGGTGTCCACGAATGCTGGGGGAGTGAAGGAAGGGCGCTGCCCCGGGGTGCCCGGCTGGCTGTCCGCCGCCCCCCCCGTAGGAGTGCCCAGCCCCCAGCCCCCAGCCTCAGCCAGCACACGGGCCCCTCTCTGGAAGGCCAGGCAGGGGGCGTCCTGGGACAGCAGGGACACTGACACCCATCTCCACAACGAAGGCCACTGTCCCCAGGCCAAACTGGGGGCCCCAATCTGTGCCCTAACTCCAGCTGGCCCGAGGCCTCTGGGTAATGAGCAGACACATAGTGGCCCCTCAGCGTCAAGACTTCCAGTGAAGGGCGGGCCAGACCCCCCTCCCCGGCAACGGGCCCCGCCACCCCCATCAGAGTGCACCGTGCTCACCTATCTGCCGGCTTTCCTGGCCTTTACTTGCTGAATGAACGAATACTAGATGAATGAATGACGCGCTCCACACAGCCAGAAATGGCTTTTAAAGGAGGCCAAAGCCCCGATGGCAAAGTGGATCTGCCACACCTGCTGGCCGCTCAGGCCCCCTGGGGCTCCTCCTGCACCTGCACTGAGTCACGGCCAACAACCCTGTGTGTACAGGGTGTGAGGGAGCTGGCGGGGGGCAGAGATCCAGACACAGGGAGGGCAGGGCGGAAGGAGCTGGGGAACCAGGCGGACCTGCGTTCCCATCCCCCCAGCCCCTCCCCGGCCCCTGCTCTGTTAGCCTGGGAAATGCCACAACCTCTCCAAATGGGAACAGCAGCACCCCCTCGGTTAGGAGTTGCTGTAAGGAAGCTTTCAGTGAGATTCTGTGCTAAAGGCCTAGCACAGTGCCCGGCACTTAGTCCATAAAAACAAGGAAGAAGGGCGCCTGGGTGGCTCAGTCGTTAAGCATCCGGCTTCGGCTCAGGTCATGGTCTCGCGGTTTGTGGGTTCGAGCCCCGCATCGGGCTCTGTGCTGACAGCTCAGAGCCTGCAGCCTGTTTCAGATTCTGTGTCTCCCTCTCTCTCTCTCTGCCTCTCCCCTACTCACTCTCTTTCTCTCCCTGTCTCAAAAATAAATAAATATTTTAGAAAATTAAAAAAAAACAGTAAGGAGGAAGAGGACCCCACGGGCCCCTGCGCTCAAGGAAATTTCCACCTGATGAGGCAGATAAGCCACCACCAGATTAAAAAGCAGAATAGAGTCGGTCCCTGGGAGAAACAAAGGGCTTCGAGAAACAAAAGAGCTTCGATCCAACCAGGAGGGTGAGGAAAGACTTTTCTGGAGGGGGTGGCTTGTGGGAAAGGCGGGAAGCAGGGGGCAAGGGGTGTGCCATGAAGAGGGGACAGCGCGATGACCAAGTCCCACTGGATGTGGGGTACGGATGCACAGTGGTGGCAGAAAGGACCCAGATGCTTCACTTGCTCCAACCTGGACTCGGGGGAACTCGTCCCTCCACCACCGGGAGCCACAGCAGGCTTCTCGGGACAGGGATAGAGGTGCGCCAACATGGGGAGCGATGCCACCAAGGAGGGCCAGCGGGGACCAGGAGGCCAGCTCCGGCCGAGGCTGTGGACATAGGCCGGGGGGCGGGGACCCTAACTCTACTCCAGGCCCCAAGCCTGGTGTCCCACAGAGGAGCCCTGCACCTCTTCCGCCGAGGGGCTCACATGACCCCAGGGTTCACCAGGGCAGGACCATACCCCTCGAGGCCTGAGTCTGTGGCCTGACCCTGCGCTCAGGCTCTCAGAGCTGGGATTCTGACTCTCCTCTGTTTTCAAGACACTCTCTGGGGCAGCCCCCGCCTCCAGGATGCACCCTGGTACCCACTGCAGGCGAGTCAACTCTGGTCCGACAGCCTCCATCCTCTGCGCTCGAGAGCTGGACTCTAAGGATGCCTCTAGTCGTGCCCAGTGAGTCACTTCGTATCACCACATGAGCCAGTGCCACCTCCCACCTTCCTCCCCGTGAAGATGTTCACCTGAGTCAGCACACCACACATTCACTAGGGTAAGGTCATGAGGGGGTTGGAGGGGAAAATGCCCCCTTTAGAGGAAGAGTGCCTTTCCATGAAATACAAGGTCTCTGAGCCTCAGTTTGCCTTCTCTGTGAAATGGGGCTACTCTGTCTTACCAGACCATGCAGCTGCCAAAAACAGGCAAAGGGTGAGCAATCCCTTTGCAGACTCTACCTTGAAACTGTGGTGGGTGCAGGTAATACCGAATAACAGCTCTGGGGCCTCTGTTTTCTCCATGTTTCTGCAGTCTCTAAGGGACCCCGTCTGCCTTTACTACCCTGCCGGAGGGCCTCCCTCGCCTCCCGCGTCCCCAGAGCTCAGCCACAGGCAGAGGCCAGCCCAGGGGAACCCGAAGACACGGTCTCCTCCCCCGTACCCAAGGGCCTGCAGAGAACAGGCTCTGAAGTGCTCGCCAGACACCCCAAGTCGGTCCCGGGGAAGAGGGTCTGCGCAACCGACACGGGGACGCAGCCCACGGTCCTCCTGTGCCCTTATTAGGCGCTTACTGCACACCTGGCCCCGTTCTTTCAGAAGCGCAGCCCGAGCATTTCTAAGAAAGAGGAAAACCATAGCCCAGAGGAGGAGGAAGTCTTCTAAAGAGGGGCCCGCGTCCGCAGTGGGGACAGCGCCTCCCGGTACGGAGCCCCCTACCCCCCGCCGCGGGAGGCCGGCCGGGCGCCGCTGTCGCAGGGGTGTCGGGGTGGGGGGGCGGCTCTCGCGGGGATCAGCCCAGGGCGGCCGACTGGCCCCACACGCCCGGGTCTGCGCGGACAGAGGGGCCGGGCTGCGCCCCGGGGCCGCGGGGACTCGAGTTCGCTGCCAGAGCGCACGTGTGGCTCCGGGGGCGTGGGGGAGAGGGCCCAGCGGGTCGGCGGTCGTCTCACCCTTGGGGGGCGGCGCCTCGGTCTCCCCGAGCCCCGCCAGGGCGCCCCGGGATGGGGGAGGGGAGTGCCCGCCCACCGGTGGGCCTGAGGGCAGCGCGAGTCACCCACCTGGGCGGGCACGGCGCCCCCCGCGGCCCAGAGCTGCAGTCCGACGGTCAGCGCGGCCCAGAGGGCGGCGGGCGCCATGCGTGCGCGCGGCGGCGGGAGCGCGGTGGGTCCGGCTGTCCCTGGCTGTCGCGCCCTCGGGCCCTCGCGCCTCCTCTCCGCTCTCCGCTGCCTCCGGCGCCTCGGACGGAAAGCGAAAGCCCGAGTTCGGGCGGCGGGAAGGAGGCAGGTGGGGGGCGGGGCGGGGGCGGGGCCTCTAGGCCACGCCTCCGGCCACGCCCCCTCCCTAGGGCTCGGCCCGCATCCCTACTCCGGTTCTTAGCCCCGACCCGCGCCCGGGGCTCCCGCCCTCGGGGACCCCTCCACCTCCTTCTGTGCCCCTTCCCCTTGGAGACACCCTCCCACCAGGTCTGTTGCTGCCCCCAGGCTGTGCCTCTCAACCTGCCCTGCATCCAGCTCCCCCTCCCACCTCCCCGCAGGCTCCCCACTCCTGTGGGGGATGGGACACTAATTTGGAAAAAGACGTCTCACAAAGGTGACACTAGCTCTGGGGGACCACCAGTGTTCTATATGATTCACTCATTTGGACTGGAGCCAGACCATCTGAGGGTGTCTCTGCACTAATCTCAAAGGGTTATATTTTCTTAAGACTAAACACTATACGATATATAATTTGTATGTGTGCTTACAAATGTATATGTAACTTAATAAGCTGTGTATACTGAATTGGCTGTTATCACTATTACTCGTTTGTTCATTTATCCTTAAACATTTTTTTAAGTAGGCTCCATGCCCAAAGTGGGGCTTGCACTCACCACCCTGAGATCAAGAGTTGCATGCTCCACCGACTGAGCCAGCCAGATGCCCCTGTCCTTAAGCATTTTTTAAGCTCTTCTCAGAGCGAGCCAGACCCTGCCCTGCTTTCCTTCTTAAGTCTCCCATCCAGGTGACAAACAAGTAAACAAGTCCGGGGCAGAAAGCCATCCGGGAAACTGAGGGCGTCCAGAGAGGGCCCAGGCCAAGGGCCATGAGGGTTGGCTGGCTCCCCTGGGGCTCCTATTTGCAACCCAGCACCCACTCTACCCGCTATCTTCGCCGTCTTCCATCTTCACCCTCTTTGAGCCGCAACTCTAAGTGAGGGCCAGCCCCGTGTGGCCAGAACTTACTCCGCCAGGCCTGGGAGTCCTTGCCCCAACACACAGGGCACTTCTGAGGAGTGGGGTGAGCAGGGCTGCAGTCTATTCTGTTCCCCTGTTCCCTCACTGCAGGTTGCCCGAGAGGTTCATGGACCTCTGCTCTGGGCCACCAACCCCCAAGATGAAGATAGCAAGATTGGTGCTTCTAGGCGCTGAATGAAACTGGGAAGTGACTTGCGAGGTGGAAAATCCCATCTCCTGACCAGGAGTCTGGGAAATTACCTGGTTCCCAAACATTTCTGAGAGATAGGCCACGCTGAGGGTGCGGCTAGCACAGCCCACAAACTTGACTCTGATAGAGAGTCAGCCTGTAAAACTAGCATGAAGGTTTCTTCTGGCCCTTACTAGTCTCGCCTGACAGTTTTGAGGACTCCCTGATCTGGAAGAGAGAGCCAAAGACCAGGAATGGGGTGTCACCTGGTGGATGCAGGGGCAAATGGTTCTCCATGGATGACCCACATACCTCTCAAACCCAGTGGGTCCCGCTGGCTCATCTGATGGCTCCCCATCCCAGTGAAGGGCATCTTCACCACCCAAACATGGGGATCTTCTGGGACCCCACCTTCCATCCCAACTCCATCAGTGGACCCAAGGGTGGGTGACAGCCAAGTCAAGAGAAAATCAAACCTCTGCCTAGGGAGTCTATCAAAGGTATTTATTTTTTTAAGTTTATTTATTTATTTTGAGAGAAAGAGAAGAGTCCCAAGCAGGCTCTGTGCTGTCAGTGCACACAGCCCGACAAGGGGCTTGCTCTCACGAACCGTGAGATCATAACCAGAGCCGAAGTCGAGAGTCGATTGCTTAACCAGCTGAGCCACCCAGGCGCCCTTCCATAAAGTGTATTTAATACAGAGGAATTAGTTATAAAGATGTTAAAGGAATTAAAGGAACAATGAGAAGAAGGGAAGATAACCCTGAGATTAACAACTACAAAAAGCTGCTGCCACCCCTGTGGCTGGAGATGGCACCACCAGAGCCAGGAGCCAGGGCATCTGGGGGACTCTGGAACCATGGAGGAGACAAAGCCACCACTGGAGACACCATGGGAAGCACAAGGGAGGGAAATATCTTGGCTTCTCCCTTCCCTTGGGTACTCATCTCCCGCCAGTGCCTTCCATTGGCCAAGCCTAAGACGGAAAACATTTAGCAAGGGAACCTGGGAAATGTAGTTTGTGGGGTCAGCCCACTGCCATAGAGAGCCGAGCAGGGGCCTGGCAGGGCCTGTTGCTGAACATAGGCCACCAGCTGGCACTGGCCCAAGGACAAAGGCACATCCCCTGTTAAGCTCGCTGTAGAAATCTGTCTTTTCCCAGCATCTGCGTGAAATCTTGGGCAAGTCCTGAAGCTTTTCTAAGCATCTCAGGCAACAAATACCCCTCCAGTCTCTCACAGTCGAGTCCAGTCCTGTCCTGGGGACTCATTAGAGCTCCAGTCTCTTACCAGGGTGGCACTTTCTCCAGCTGGGCCCAGGCTTGGAACCTGCCTTGGACGGGGAGGATCTGGTGACTCCTCTCAGGACTCTGCCAGGTTTGGTTGGGGAGAAGGTTTGCAGAGAAAAGAGCACCCTGTTGCATGGCACCTATAGTCGTCACCTGCCCCCTTCACACTGGGGCCTCTTGGGGGCAGTTTCTGGTTCATTCTCTGGAGGCACTTTTGCAGGCATCTCGAAGGCTTTCTTGGTAATTCCTCTGACCGTGGCTCCCCAGCACTAGAGATGCCCAAGCCTCCTGCTGGCCACAGCTGACTATATCCCCTGGTCTCCGACATAAATGGTGGTCTTCCAGGCTTCTCCTGCTGAGGGCTCCTCCCCCACAAGAAGCACTTTGGGTTAGAGATGGCCCAAAGCTGGCTTCTTCCCTGGAGTCCACGGTTGCCCTTTGCCCTTCACCTGCAGCAGCCCGGCTCACCACTCGCGGACCCTGTCTTGCCCCCAGCTCTGCCATCTCAGGCCCATGGAGCCTCAGGCTTGAACTCATGTCACAAACCTCTAATGAGCACTTGGGGTGCTAGCCGTGGGGTGCTGGGCACTCAGGAGTGCGCAAAGCAGGCGAGAGTCTCCGATCAGTCTTGTAAGCCCTAAACTCCTTGGATACCCAGCTGTCAGAGTGGTCCTTTGTAGCCCCTCCTGCTTCGCCCAAGACCAAGGGAAGTGCCCCCTCTCCCAAGAGGCAGCCAGGGTTCACTCAGCACATTGGAGACACCCTTCCCTGAATCTCGAATCTCGTCTCTTGGGTTCTCCAAACCCAACACCTTCTTTAGGCTGGGGATGGGCAATGGCAAATTCTGGATGAACCATTTGACATTCAGTCTCTTGGCATGCCTGCATGGGTGGTCCAGGACTCTCTCTCTCTTCAAGATGGGTTTTGGTTTTGGCACCCACCATATTGGACCTGCCATTGGGAAATCCGCTAAAACTCAGCAACTACACAGGGAGTCCCCTTAACACCCTGCCTCGGTCTGGATCCCTGGCTCCTTTCCTCCTGCCCCAGTGCCCAGCCGTGGCTTTGGCCATGGCCATTTCTCCCTTGTGATGCTCCAGTGGCCTTCCAGCTGGTCCTTTGGCGTTCGGGCCCTGTCCCTCTAGTCTGTGCTCCATGGTGTGGCCTGGGCCAGCTCTCAAAAGCATAAGGCAGTCATGCCATTTCCCCCTGGCCCAACAGTTCGAAAATCAAGGGACGGTTTTGCCCCCTTGCCTTGCAAGGGACATCTATCAATGTCTGGAGACATTTGGGATTGTTACAATTGCAGGGGACAGGGTGGTGCTAAATGGCCTCTCGTGGGTAGAGGTCAGGATGCTGCTAATATCCTATGATACACAGGACAGCCCCCACAGCAGAGAATTATCCAACCCAAAATGTGGGTAGTGCCAACACTGAGAACCCCTAGGGCCCTCCGTGCCCTAGCCCGTGGCTCCCCACGGCCTTCTGAATTGAGCTCAGGCTCCTCGGTGAGACACTGGAGGCCTTCACGTCCTGGCCCAGACTGTCTGCCAGGCAGATCTCCCCCAGCCCCATACTCTAACCACCCTGGACCCCCTGAATAACCTTGAGGCCTCACCTCCATGCCTTTGTCCATGGGTTCGTCTGCCTGGGACGGCTTCCCCTTCCACTTGCTTGGTGATCACCCACTTGCCCTTCAACTTGAAGCCCAACTCCTTCTCCTTTGTGAAACTTGCCCTTAACCGCACCCCACCAGCCAAGGCAGGGGTTGGTACTTCTGCAGACCTTTAGCAAAACCCTCACCTCCGTATGGTTAGCTGCTTACATTCCCTCTCCTCTCTTAGTAATTGCGAGATTAGCAGTTATTGGAAGCCTACCCTGGGCCAGATGACTTACAGACATCGTCTTGCAGCAGAGAGGCCAAGCCCCGTAGTAAGCTTGTACAGCTAGTAAACACAACAGTGGACTCCAGCTGAATTAGTTTGCCTTCCGCAGCCAAGGAACTCGGCTCAGCCAGCTGCTTCTCACGCCCCCGGACTGTGTGGTCTTTGGGTGGGGGTGAGGGGGGTTGGTCATGGTCCCTGCTATTTCCCTGGTGACCAGGTAATACCCAAAGGGAGGGGCTCAGTAACGCTGGACTGCGTAATGGGACTAGCATATGCAGGATTCGATATAGGGGTGAAGAAGAGTGAGTGGATGTCAGGGTCAAGACGCAGGGATCTAGCCCCCCCCCCACTCACTCCCAGGCCCTACCCACTCTACGTGGTCTCCCAGGACATGTGTGTCCCAGACCCCAAAGCCCCACAGCACAGAAAAAGCCCGCTGTTTTTGCTCCTCAGTAATGGGGAATGAGCAGGTCCCAGCAGATAGGACCATGGCCCTCTGGTCCCCAACCCAGGGGCTTCAGGCACAGCATACACCCTTGGCCTGGGGCTCCCTGGAGCCTTTCCTCCCTTCCCAGTGCAGCCCATAGCTCTCAGAGGGCCCCCCGCCATCTCACCCCAACGAGCTGAAGAGGTGTAGCGGAAGGCATTGGGCCCCAAACAGCCAGTCTGTCCGCAGATGTTTCCTGAACACCTGCTACATGCCAGGCCTTTGGAGGGATGGCTCTCCAGCTTCAGCCAGCATCAGAGGCATCTGGAAGGCTTGTTGAATGTGCACATTCCTGGGCCCCACTCCCGCGTCTGTTGAGGGCCCGATGAGCTGGCTTTTTAATGCGCCCTCGGGTGACTAATGGATATCTTTTGGGAATCCCTGAACAGAGAGCGTTTAGCTGCAGCAGGTGCCGAGGCTAAGGGCACTCTAGAAGGCACAGCTGCGTTTGGGTTGGCAATGGCAGTTCACACGATGGGCAGGGGGTGGGTCTCAGAAGCAGCCACGCAGTCAGCTCCCTCTCACCTGGTCTGGGTGCCCAGTGGGATCCTGTCTTGCAGGAGCTGCTTGGGCAGCCTGACCCCCTCCCACCCCCAGCCCCCACCCAGCTCGTCCCACAGCCACGGCAGGTAACGTTCTCTCGTTCCACTGTCCCGCTTATCTCAGCACCCTGCATGCTCTGGGCCAGCCCCTGGATGACTCATGTCCTAAAATCACGAACAGGAAGTAACATGGTGTGAGCCACAGCCCTGAAACTACCTCCTTCATCTGCGCCTCCCCCTAACCCGCCCTCCCGCCATCCTGGGGCCACACCTCAGGCTAACCTGGTCTTATCAGGCTGCCGACCCCTGTCCCCAGTGCCTTCCAGAGAAGAAGGTCTCCCCTCCTCCGACCCTCAGAGAGGACCCCAGGCAATTTGGGGAGAGGAATCAAGAAAGCCTCCAATCCCCCTGTCCGTTCTGCCAACACCTCCCTGTTCTAGATCGCCTCTCTTCTCAAGAACCAGCCCCCGACCATCTGAAGACCCTCAGTTTCTCAGCCGAGTCAGTGGGGCCAGCTGCAAGTCGGGGGAATTCCCCTGGTAGCCCTTCCCTTCATCTAAGCTGAGGGTCTGGACGAGATCAGGGGAGGGAGGCTCATCTCATCCTCGGTGCCAACTCCGCCTCACGATGGCCGTCCAGGGCTCGGTGGCTGGGAGCCCGCGTGTGGGCTGTGCAAGAAGGGATGCGCGGCTGCGGAGCGGGCGTGCCCTGGGTGGGGAAGGAGCAGCCACCGCAGGACCAGTGTCTCCTCTGCCATATGTGCGCTAGGACTGAGGCCGTCCCCGGCTCCTGACATTTGAGGATTCTGATTTTCCCGAGGTGTGTGGAGGTGGGGGTGCAGCCGGGCCGGGCCTCATTCTAACCCCCGCCTTTAACATACAGAGAGGGTGTGCCTGTCCTACAAGAAGGACTGGACCTTGATCCCTCGCAGGGCTCACCTATGAGACCTCCCTTTCATCCCACCACAAATCAGCAAACCGACCTGCTGTATTTTACACCCATCGATCTTTTTTTTTTTAACGTTTTATTTTATATTTTGAGAGACAGAGAGAGACAGAGTGCGAGCAGGGGAGGGGCAGAGAGAGAGGGAGACACACAATCTGAAGCAGGCTCCAGGCTCTGAGCTGTCAGCACAGAGCCCGATGCGGGGCTCGAACCCACAAATGCGAGATCATGACCTGGGCCGAAGCCAGATGCTTAACCGACTGAGCCACCCAGGCGCCCCAACATCCATCTATCTGTTTACCTTATATCATCTTCGTTTTCAGATATTTTTTTAATTAAAAAAAATTCAAAGCATGGATCCAAAACAGCCATATTTCCAC